CTTCCGGTGAGCTTTCTACCCGGAAAAGCTCACCGGAAGCACTTTTTCATCAAAAAAAGATGGCAGCGCCCAGCAAGCCAGCGGCCCGGTAGGAGTTGTTCCGCGGACCGGTACCGGTCCGTGGACCGGTGGTTGGGGACCCCTGCTCTAAACTGCACAGAATCTTAGCTAGGGGCTCTCCTGAACCCCTGCAAACCCTCAGCTGCCCAGCCCTGGATATAGGAAACATTTCAGAAGGGACCCTCCCTAGTTTCCTAGACTGTATAGGCGGGGGGTGGCGGGATTAGATTCAGATTCGTAAGATTCTGTTAACGTCAATTTACAATCAAATTAGCACATCTGGGCGTGCTTCTTGTCTGAACTACCTGGCCTGGCTGACCGGGTGCAAGACAGCACCGCAAACCATCCACGGCACCTGTGCCGATTCCTTCCCTGGTTTTGCACACAAGACCCCAGTTTAGGAATAATACCCCGGTGCCAGGGCCAGGAGCCAAGACCCATCACCTCTGACTGGCAGTAGGGCTGAAATTTAACATCCCTGCTACAAAAACAACAACAGGATCCTTGTGTTTAAGGCAGTGTTTCCAACCTGGGCAGCTTTAAAATGGGTGAACTTCAACTCCCAGAATTCGTGAAGTCCAAAGTTGAAGTCCACCCATTTTAAAGTTAACCCAGGTTGAGAAACACTGATTTTAAACTCTGGAAACCGCTTCCTGTTTTCCTTTTTTGAATATTTCATTTGCCTCATGTCAGATCAAGGGGTCAGGTGGGACAGGGGTGGTGGGGTTAAACCTTTTTTTTTAAATAAAAAATAAACCCTCCCACTTGGGGTAGAGAATTCAGTTTACCTCCTGCCACCTCCTCTATTGTTGTTGTTGTTGTTGTTGTTGTTGTTGTTGTTGTTGTTGTTAATACAGAATGAAACTCCACAGAATAGGATTTAATTTGATTTGCTGCCACAGATGCGGCCTGGCGGCCGTGGGGGGATATGAGTTTAATCTTTTCCTCCAGGGCTTTTGAAACATGCACGCACACACACTAACCTAGACACCCACACACAGACACCCACAATTCCTTCTTTTTCGAAGATAAAAAGAATTCCAAAGCGATGAGGCAGAAAGGTTTGGGAGGTCCCAGGTGCTTCTGGGCAGGTGGGTGGCCTGTTCCTTGTCTGGGGCCTCCCTCCCTGCCCCTGCTGTGTCGGGTGGGAGTGGGGACGACAACAGGGGAGGCCGCTTTACAAACCGCGACGGAGCTTCCGGCTGGGGAGTCTTTTCTTGGCTGTCGGGCAGCTGCTTTTGTTGGTCCCTTCGATTTGTCCACCCTCCCGTCGCAGTTTCCTCCCTGGATGCCTTTTTTTCAAGGTGGCCTCTTGACTCTCCTACTTCATAACTCCTCTCTCCTCCCTTTCCTTTCTCAATTATCCATCTCCTCCTGTGTCTTTCCGCCTCGGGAGTCTGGCCTTGCACACATTTGCACACTTCAACCCAATGTGCTTCTCCCCCCCCCATACACAAACACTCTGTCTCTCCCTCCCCCTCTCTCTATCCATCTTTCTCCCTCTCCATCTCTTCCTCCCTCTCTATCCTTCTCTCTTCTTCTTCTCCCTTCCTCTCTCTCCCTCCCTGTCTCTATCCATCTTTCTCTCTTTCTCTCTCCCTCTCCATCTCTTCTTCCCTCTCTATCCTTCCCTCTCCCTTTCTTCTTCTCCCTCCCTTCCTCTCTTTCTCCCTCCCCCTCTCTCTATCCATCTTTCTCTCTCCTCTGTCTCTTCTTCCCTCTCTATCCTTCCCTCTCCCTCTCTTCTTCTCCCTACCTCTCTCTGTCCCCCTCTCTGTCTCCATCTCTCTCCCCCTCTTCCTCTTTTCCCCTTTTTTAATCCTTCCTTCTCCCTACCTCACTTTCTCTCCCCCTCTCCCTCACTCCCTCTCTCCCACTCTCTCTCCCTTTCCTAATTCTCTCTGTCCTTCCCTCCCCCTCTCTCTCTCCCTTCCCCTCTCTCCCTCTCTGTCCTTCCCCCCCTTCCTCCCCTTCTCACGCTCTCCCTCTCTCCGCTTGCCTTCTTGTCCACGTTTCTCATTCTGCCTCTGTCCCTTCAGCAACTCAATCGGATCAGGGTGGCAAATTGGATTGGCTCCGATGTGGGATTCATCCTGTCTGCTTTTTCTTTATCTTGTCTAGCATCTTTCAGAAGCAAGAAGTCTTCAAAGAAAAAAACAGAAAGTCCAGTTATCTCTTGGAAAATAAATAACACCTTGGGGACAACCAGATGACCGAGAATCTTCATAGATACATAAAAATAAATGTTCTTCTAAACTTGAATTTGTTTTTTTTCCTTCTTTTGCAGCCCGAGTTCCAGATTGTCTGCTGCCCTAAAGCAGCTCCCCCACCCCCAATCTCCTCCTTCCCACCCACCCACCTGTAGCAGATCACCTGTAGAACAAGCTTGCAATCAAACCAAGAAGAAGGAGAAGGGGAGGTTCCTTTTTTTTTTTAATTTTTGGTCTTTTGAATGAGTCAAACCGAAGGGGGGGAAAAAATGGACGGTGATTTGCACCCACCTGTGACCTCCTTCCACGCAACTTCTTTTTTTTCAAAAGAAGGCTTAAAGTGTGGTTTGTCGGACGGGATCCAGGCTCCCCTTATGACTGCGATGCTGTGTGTGACCCAGATATTATACCTGGACTCTTTCTGGGGGTTGCATTGGGGAGCAGTGATGGGAGAAGAGCCAGTGAATGGTCTTTAAAGAAGGGTGTCCTTCAGGCGAACTCTTTTTCTACCTTCCCAGGTGTGTTTGGAAACTTGCAAGCCATCAACACGCACTTTATGTAGTAGACTACTGTTATATTATATATATATATATATATATATATTTTATGTGTGTGTGTGTGAGAGAGAGAGAGAGAGACTGTATGTGTGTGTGTATGTATGTATATATACACACACACACACACACACACACACGAGATATTTTTCGCTTTTTGGTTCCCCCCTCCCTTCCTTCATTTTTTCCTTCGCAATATCTCTAGAGACTGTTTTATCCGTTACAATGCATTTGAAATGGTGGGGATGAAGGGACAAGAACCCAAACGAAGTATTTTAAAATTAAAACACGGGGAAGAGTGTCCCCATTCCGTTCTGAATTAAAAACACACACACACACACACACACACACACATACAAAAAAAAATCTGCATGCTGTTTATAAGGGCTGGAGCAAAGGGAAAAAGTGTGCTTTTCCGGGTTTTTTTTTTTTCCTTTTTTTTAAAAAAAAAAAGAAAATAAAGATTCAATGGAGACGTGGATTCTATAGTGTCAACTTTGTGGGGAGCCATTTCTGTCACTATAAGGAAGAAAGAGCAGGCGTAAGAAAGGAGCGTTTTACCTGGAATTGTGAATTGAATAGGCCTAGAGTTGGAAGGAATCCCAGAAATCATCTTAACTCAACCTTTTGCAAGACCAGTTGAAGCAGAGTTTCCCAACCGTAGCCATTTTAAGATGTGTGGACTTCGACTCCCAGAATCCCCCAGTCAGCCATGCTGACTGGGGAATTCTGGGAGTCGAAGTCCACACATCTGAAAGCATCTGGCTGGGGAATTCTGGGAGTTTTAATTCCACACATCTTAAAACATGCTGGTTGGGGAAATCTGGGAGTTGGAAGTCCACAGGTATTCAACTTGCCACAGTTGAGAAACATTGCTGTAGAAAGTAGAAACTGTCTCTTAGCAGGCTGAGCCCCGTTGAGTAGTCTTTAAATGGAAGTCAGAAGTAATTGCTTCTCATAATACGGAGCTCAAGTACTTCTTAAAAGTTTGTTCCAATATATATATATATAAACCCTGGTTTGTTTTCCTCCTTAGGAATTCATGCATCCTTGTGCTAGTGAACTTACTAAACAGTAGTAGCAAGATTTATGTTGTGCAAATCCATATCTGAATTCTGAGAATTTTGTGGTGCTGTCAGTATGACACTGAACCACAAACTTTCCAATCGCATTTGGGGTAATGTCGTGCAGCCTCCATGTATAGGCTCATAGAATCATATGGGTGGAAGGGACCTCAGAGGTCTTCTAGTCCACCCCCTTGCTCAGTATGAAAACTCTATGCCATCCTGGACAAATGGTTGTCCAATTATTTCTTGAAGACTTCCAGCGATGGAGTTCCCACAACTTGTGAAGGCAAGAATCAATTGTTCTATCAGGAAGTTTCTCCTTAGTTCTAGGTTGGATCTTCCTCTGACCTCCTTCCACCCATTCTTTCTTGTTTCATAGTTTATCCCAAGCTTAATTCCAACTCTTGACCAAACCATAGTTAAGCATGGTATATAAACCCAACTTCTGTCTTTTCAACAGCCAGGTTAGCTTGGTCAATATGCATTAGTATATATTACAGCTGCATGAAATGTTCAGAGACATTTGGGTCACCGTGAAGCTTAACAGAAGTTTGAAACTTCTTCACCATCTTTTCATTCCGGCACTTTTTAAAATCCCAGAAAGTTTGCTGAAAAGATGAGCAAAGTCTTGGGTCATGTCACTCACAACTTGAAACGGCAAGATCCAATTAAGCAAGGACCCCCCAAATCGAGTGGGATTCCGCATACAGAGTAGAAGACCGCAATAAAATTCAAAAGGGTTTCGAGGGTTTTATTGAAATGGGCTGAAAGTAACAATTGAATGTTAACACAAATGCAGAGTTTTATCAGCTTTGGAAGCAAAAATCCAGTGAACAGAGAGCCTGTGGGGGGGGAATGCCACAGCTTAGTAATGGAATGTGTGAAAAAAAAAAGATATTAGGATACTAGTTGACCATCATAGAAATGGATGATATGGATGCCAGAAAAGGAAAGACAGACTTGGGCTACATGAGAAATAATAATGGGAAGTTATTTAGAAAAGTCCTGGGTGGAGCCAAAAAAGTCAAGATGGCTCTTATGGTCTGATCAAAGTGATTTTTATATGCACGACACAAATAAATATGTGGAGTTTTAATGGCACTATCACAGCCACCATCTTGAGTTTTTTTTAACCAACGTTGCAGGCCCCGTCTCTTTTAATGGCTTGATATGATTTTAATGGGCCTCCCAAGCCTCACCAAACACACAAAAAACTTGTAAAGGAAATATGTAGCTTAGACGAGCAAAAGCTAAGAAACAGGAAATAACCCTCTTCAACCCCTTGAAGGATTGATTATCTGGTAGGTAGACCAACCAGGCCCACTTGAAGAGGTGCGGACTTCAACTCCCAGAATTCCTCAGCCATCCGGCATCCATTGCTGCTGCAGCATGCTGGCTGGGGAATTCTGGGAGTTGAAGTCCACAGGCCTTGAAGTGAACAGGGTTGGGAAAGCATTGTAGAAGATGGTCAAGAGCTGGGCTTCATCCTCCACAGGGGAGGCGCAATAACGGCTTTAAGTCCCAAAACGAGATGCCAATAAAAGACACCCCACCCCCAAAAAATCTTAGCAGCAACAGCAGTTGGACAGGAGAACCCATAATATCCCACAGACAAGGTGGCTGTGGCTGTGTTAGTGGGTTGGGCAGCCATCAGTCCAAGGTGCTTTAATCTGAATTATTATCCGTGCAGGATGGAATTGAGCTTGTTTCAGTGGTTGGCCACAGGCCCAATCCTGCTTTCTCTTAAGACCACCACAGGTGTTTTTTATCCTTTCTTTCTGTGGCCAGCCATGTTTCCTTCCTGGGGAAGCTTGACCTGCCTCCCTGCTAGAGCCCAACAAACCAGCATGTCCAGCTACAGGAGGGAGAAAACAGGCCCAGGCCCTGCTTGCGAGTTTTGCAAAATGGTCTGCTTGGTTTGCTCAGGAAGTACAAAATCCAGCGATGGAAGGTCTAGATGTAATGATCTTTGGGGTTGGGGAATCTTTAGGGGGGTGTCAATCATCCTCAACCCTGGTCACTAGAAGATGGGTGGACTTCAACGCCCAGGATTCTGGGAGTTGAAGTCCACCCATTGTCAAGTGGCAGAGGTTGCAAAACACCACTTCAAAACGCCATTATTTGGAGGTGCTGCAAATAAGTGGGACCATGACTTTAAACCCAACCTGCAAAGGTGAGGCCAGAATGGTGGCCCAATGTGGCGGCAAACCTAAATGAACGGAGCCGCTCAAAATAAATAGGAAAATAAATGATGAATCCAATTAAAAAAAACAAAAAGCAATTTTATTCCTAACCCAGACAGGCACTTTCTCCCTAGTCTGGGACTGCCGAGTCCAGAATTCCCAGCTCGCTTGAAAAGAGGGCACTGGATGGTAAATGTTCAGGTCTTCTATGTTGTTGGAAACATGCATTTTTCCAACCCGTGCTGGTCTGTCCGTAGCATGTGTTCCTCAAAATTTGCAGCGCCCATACAAAAGCAGGCCGAATTTCAACCACGCCTCTGTGGCTGCCATCTTATATTTTCTGATCACACCCAAGAGATTATCCTATACAGTTCTAAGAAACATCCCCCATTTCTCTGGTTTAGAAGTACAGGTAATCCTCAACTTATGACTGAACACTTAGTGACCATTCAACAGTGTGACCGGCCTGGAAGAAAAGGAGTTGCAACTAGGGTGGGATTCTACCAATTCGCACCTATTCGTTAGAACCAGTTGTTAACGTTCTAAGCAGTTCGGAGAACTGGTTGTTAGAAGAAATTACTGGCCTAATCCTGTAAGGAAGGAAGGAAGGAAACATTCTGGTGTTGCTTATAGAAACTGCCTCTCCATTAACCCTTGTTACATTCTTGGCAGGACTAGACTTCCTGTCTCAGGAACTTCTCTGGAGTTTTTTTCCCCTTCCTTTGCTGGTACTTTGCTTGTGTGGAGTGACCATTCAAAGTTACAATGGCACTGAAAAAAGTGACTTATGACCATTTTTCACACTTATGACTGTTGCAGCATCCCCACAGTCATGAGAGGCCAGGCGAGGAGATGCGTGCCTCAATGTGAGTGATAGCCCAGCCAATAACATGACCATCAAGCCATGTCCACCCAGTCACATGACCACCAAACCACACCCACCACCTAAGCCACACCCACAGAACCAGTTGTTAAAAAAGTTGAATCCCACCCCTGGTTGCAACCCTGTTCCAAAGGTCGGCCCTCCAGCCACTGGAAGTTACTTCCAGTTTTTGAGCAAAACCACACCACAGAGAACAATGCCTTTGCTTAACAAGCACGGTGTCCATCTTACGAGGTCTATAATCAGATCAGTCATTTAAAATTGCCATGACATAACCACTATAACAGGCAGGCTCCATTACAGGTAATCTTTTCCAGCCCCAAAATGCTGTTGCTAGGCCAGGCATGTAGTTAAATGAATTTTACCCCATTTTACGACCATTCTTTGCCACCGTTGTTAAGTAGACCACTGCAACTGTTAGTAACACAGCTGTAATGTGTGGCTTCCCCATGGATTTGCTCCTCAGAAGGTGGAAAAAGGGAACCACGTGATCCCGAGACACTGCGACAGT